TGAATTACATTAATAGATACTTTTGATGTTGAACCATCTTTTTAATCCTGTGATAAACCTTACCTAATCATGAATTTTTTAAAAAGTCAAATTGGTTTTGATTATCCAAAATTATATTTAATATTTTAAAATTAAATGGCTCTATATTTTCTTGTACTGTTCTCACCAGATTTTGGAATCAAGGTCACACTAAGCTCATCAAATGAGCTGGTTTTCATTCTTTTTCTGTTTTTTGGAATAATTTGTCTAACATAGGAATTAATGGTTTTGAATATTTATTAAAACTCCCTTGTAACATTACCTGGGCCCTGGGCTTCTTCCAAGAGGATTTTTTAAACTATCCTATCAGTTTCTGTGATACATTTCTTAAATCAAGATCTATTTCAAGGGCCCATCTGTAGCTGCCTATGGTATTTTTGCAGATTATATTTTGCAGATTTTGAGTTCAGTAAAAATATAAATAAAGTTACACTGATGAATATTCTTTACAATTTCAGGATATTATAGAGCAGCTACTAAAAATAATGCAAGAGGATTTCACCAGAATAAATCTGGTGATAAATGTAATTCACCATAGTAACAGAATAAAAGATGATGCTTCACTAGATTCAGAAAAACATTGGAAAACATTTAATACCTAATCATGTTAAAATTGTGAACTTCAAATGGAAATGAATGTCCTCAGTATGATAAAATCAGGCCATCTGCAAAAAGCCTACAGCTACACTTAATGCAAAGTATTGAATACTTTCCCTTCAAGAGGGGGAACAAGGCAGGGATCCCCACTCTTACCATGCCTATTAAACATTGTACTGGAAGTACTAGCCATTATAATAAGGCAAGAAAGAGAAATAAAAGATATAGAGGATGAGAAGAAAGAAGAATAACTCTATTTGTCAGTGACATGACATGTACATAGAAAATTCTAAGAAATCTATACAGAGTTACTTGAACTAATAAGTGAATTTAGAAAGGTTGCAAAATACAAAATCAGTATATAAATATCAACTGTATTTTTATTTTATTTATTTTATTTTTATTTGTTTTATATTTATTATATACTAGTAATAGTCAACTGGAAATGGAATTTTTAAATTCTATTTACTTAGCAACCAAAATAAAATACTTAGAATAAGTTTTTGGAAATATATACAAGCCCACTGTATATCCAGTATAATGGTTAAAATTAAAAAGACTGACAATACCATAGGTTGGCAAGGATGTGGAGCAGTTTGAACTTCAAACTATATACTTCAAACTATAAAAATTGCTGACAAAAATTAATATTGGATTGAAAAACTCAAAATTCAGTTTGCTCTAAATTGATCTATAGATTCAGTGCCGTCCCAATTAAAACGCCATCAGGCTTTTTTGGTAGATATTAACAAATAGGTTCCAAAATTTATGTGGAAATGCAAGCAAAGGATTATTATATCTAAAACAATATTGAAAAAGAACAAAGTTGAAAGATTTACACTATCTGATTTGAAGGTTTGCTATAATGCTATGCTATATACTCATGCTGTACTATGTATAATCAAGACAATGTCATACTTTCATAAGGATAGATATATAGATCAGTAAAAAAGAATGCAGCACCTAGAAGTAACCTTACACCTGTGCAGTTACTTGATTTTCTTTTTTTTTTTTTTTTTTTTTACAAGAAGCTCTAAGGTAATAGCTTGGAATTTTGGTGATGTGGGTTTGGGAGAAAAGTGAAAAAAAATGAATTTCAGTCTATGGGTGTCGGTATTCATGGGAGTCATCTTAAGAAATGTGCACTTACTGAAAGAGAACTCCATACTAGGATTTCTTTTCCTTGAGGTTTATGTTAATCAATCACCTGGATAAGTGGTAATCAGAATATTGCTTCTAAAATACTGTTTCTATAGAGCATGACTATTAGTTAACTGAAAACTCCTTTTTTTCCACACATACACACACACACAGACACAGACACACACACACACACACACACAATTTTATTTTTACAAGAGATAAACTGACACCAAGCATTGTAAATGGATGACCGCAACAATGATTGCAATTACCAAACACGAAACACACTCATACTATGTCATGATATTGACATTCAGTCCAGTAATTCTCCACTGTAACGGCTCGTTTACTTTCCAGTGAAAATTGATTGGTATATTTTTTGCTTCTGAGTCCTTGTGGGATTTTTTTCTTCTTTTTATTCAAACAGAAAGTCACAAAAATTATAATCATCCTCATCAGTTCACTCAGTCCCATGTAATTAATTTTTTTTCATCTTGATCTTTTGTTAGCACTTTTATGAATTCATCAGTTTTCCATTAGAGTTCTGAAAATGCTTATTCATTCAGTTCAGCAGTATAGTCAGTTACCAAAAACCTGTACTTGTCAGAGTCTTTTCCATGAATTCCTTGAAGATGAAACCCTTTTATAGGAACATTTTTGCAAAAGCATCAGAGTACACCCAGAACTGTCTGTAAATGACAAAAGACTTAAAAATGACCACGGTTAAAGATTTGATGAAAGTTGATAATAATGCAGTTGACAAGGAAATTTAGTTATTTCTGAGATATACATTTTAAAGTAATAACTAGAATTATGAATTATAACATTATACCAGAACATATAAGATTTTTAGAAATTTCATGTAATGTCTGAAACATTTATATTAACATATTTCCATACAAATAACCCAAAGAAAGTTTAGTATTAGTTGTTTTTTTGTTTGTTTGTACTGCAGGTTCTTATCAGTCATCAATTGTATACACATCAGTGTATACATGTCACTTGATTTTCTAAAAAGCATGAAATCAGGGGAGAAAGGAAAGTCATTTCTGCACATTGTGCTTGAACAACTAAATACCAACATGGGGAAAAAATACATATGACACCTACTTCACACACCATATACAAACATCAATTCAAGATGCATCACAGACCTAAATGTAAATGCTAAAACTATGAAGCTTTTACAAGAAAACATGAGAATATCCTTGTGACTTGCATGTAGGCAAAGGTTTCTCAAAGACAGGACACAGAAACAATAATCATAAAAGAAAAAAAACTATAAATTCAAATTTATCTAAATGTAAAACTTCTATTAAACTTCACTGTTAAAGTGAAAAGCCACAGGCTGTCAGAAAATAGTCACAAAAATTCACAAAAACGCATCTATGTAGGGGATTAGTATCCATGAAATATAAAGGCTTCTACAACTGAAAAATGAGAAGGCAGACCAATGAAAAATGAGCCAAAGATTTGAATATTTTTCAAAAGAAGATACAAGAATGACCACAAGCACATAGAAAAGTGATCAACATCATGAGCTGAGAAGGAAGTGTACGTTCAAACCACAATGAAATACCACTGTATACCCAGTATAATGGTTAAAATTAAAAAGACTGACAATACCATAGGTTGGCAAGGATGTGGAGCAGTTTGAACTCTCATACATCATTGGAGGGAACAGAAAATGATAGAGCACTGGAGAAAACCTTTTGGGAGTTTTTTAATCAAACTAATCATATACTTTCCCTATAACATAGCAGTTACAGTCCTCTGTGTATACCCAAGAGAAGTGAAAGCATGTCCACAAAAAGGCTTATACAAGAATATTAATAGCAACTCTATTTGAAGGCCCCCAAACTGGAAATAGCCCAGCTGTCTGTGAGTAAGAAAATATATAAATGAACTGTGATGTATTCCTTATATGGAATACTGCTCAGCAATAAAAAGGAACATGAATAAATCTCAAACATGTTAAATGAAAGAAGCCTCACACAAAAGAGTTCATTACTGTATGACTCCATTTATCTGAGATCCTAGAAGAGTTACAACTAATCTGTGATGGAAATAAAAAATTAACACTGTTTGCCACTGGGTTCAAGAATGACTGGAAGGAGGTATGAGGGAACTTTCTGGAGTGAAGGTAACGTTCTGTATATAAGTTGGGGCCACACAGGTTTATGCATCTTTGAGAATTTATCAGGTGATACACTTAAGATTTGTGCATTTCGTTGTAAGTTTTGCCTCAAAAAAGGAAAAAGGAGATCTGAACAAATATGGAACTCTAGTTAATGACAAGCCTACTGAAATATTTAGGGACAGTGTACTAATGTTTATGATTTACTTTGAAATGCATCGGAAAATGTAAATGAATTGAAGGATTGATAGCTGGATGAGATATGTGGTAAAGCAAGTCAGTGAACTGTTGATATATGGATGTTTGGTGCAGTATTCTTTCAGCTTTCTCTGTGTTTGAAAATTTTCATGATAAAATGTTGAAAGTGTCTCAGGAGATGAAACCAGAGCATCTTTTTTCAGTAGAATGCATTGATTTTTTGGTTTATGAAGCAGAGGCTATATAACATAGTAGAGCTAGAACTGGTTCAAATCCAAGATCCTTGACTTACTAGCTGTAAAATCTTGGGCTCTTACTGAATGATCTGTGCCTCAGTTTCCTCTAAAGTAATCAAAATCACAGTCATAGGGTTATTAAGATGAGTGGATGGATGGATGGATGGTTGATACTTGGATTAGTTCTTACCACGTATTAAGCTCCATATGTGTCAGTTACTAGCCAAGCATAATTGAAATACATACACTTAATTTAAGAAGCAAGTGTTTTCCTTGATTCTGCTTTAAATTTTCAAATTTCACCTTTTAAAATATTTTATAGTTGAGATGAGATCAACAGCAGTTCTGGTAGAGGCATGATGAGGGAGGGGAATAAGAGGAAAGTGGGGGAATGGACGGATGGAGAAATGAAAAGGACTGAGTTTTATGCATTTCAATAACCAGGTCACCATGTACTTGATTAGCCTTTTTCTTTAAGCTTTTTTTTTTTTAAGTGTGTTGCACATGGTTTTTTTTTTACACACTAAAAACCACTCAGTTTTATTAATTAACATATAATAAGTTCACACATACTGTAAATAAAGTACATGTTTTCTGTATGTTCTACGGGAAATAGATGCATTGCATAAAACCTGTATTAATGTCTATAGATTGACCTAGAAGCTGAGATGGTGAGCACTGTAGCTGGCATTGGAATTCAAGGTACAGATAAAGAAGGTGGAGCTAAAGGAGAAGAACAGCCCATTAGCTCTCCTTGGGATATAGTTTTTGGAAGGTCAGGTATGTAAACTTTTGATATTAAATATAAGTAAATTTTGTTAAGTAGAAGTTTTAAGATATTATGGGAACATTCATTTTTGACTAATTCTTTTACTAGTTATTTTATGCTTTTATACCAATGACTTGGGATTTGTTAATTGCATAAAAACAAAGCCAACGGTAATATATAGAAGATAGAGTAAATATATCATTATATATTACATGTAACATTACATACATATTATATTTTATACACAAGATAGGGTATGTATTTCTCTAATGTTAAAGAATTTCATCTTAGTTGCAGCTTCCAATTAAGATAGTTCTGAATATTCTGAAGTTGGACAGACTATAGTTTCAGAATTTCAAAAGATTATTCACACACTATACTGTTTAACAATGTCCTTTTTATTTACTGTCGTGTAAAAAATCAAGAAATGAGAGGGTTTTTTTAGATTATCAATAAAATTTTTATTTAATTATTATAGCTTCTTTTGAGTAGTTAAAAAAAACTATATACAATGGAATATTACTCAGCCATAAAAAAGAATGAAATCTTGCCGTTTGTGACAACATGAATGGACCTAGAGGGTGAGAAAGACAAATACTGTATAATTTCACTTATATGTGGAATCTAAAAACAAATGAGCAAACATAACAAAACAGAAAGAGAGTCATAGATACAACGAACAAGGAAGGGGATGGTGGGGATGAGTGAAATAGGTGAGGAAAATTGAGGCACAAATTTCCAGTTACAAAAGAAATGAGTCACAGGAATGCAGTGTGCAACATGAGGAATATAGTCAATAATAATATAATATCTTTGGTAACTAGACTTACGGTGATCATTCTGCAATGTATAGAAATATCAAATCACTACGTTGTGTACCAGGAGCTATCATAGAGTTGTAGTCGATTATACTTCAAAAAACAAACAAACGTATAGAGAAAGACATCAGATTTGTGGTCACCAGAGGCAGGGGTGGGGGATTTGGATGAAGGTGGTCAAAAAGTACAAAATTCCAGTTATAAGATACATAAGAAGTAGGGCTATAATGTACAACATGATTAATATAACTAACAGTGCTGTATGTGTGTATGAAAGTTGTTAAGATGAGTAAATCCTAAGAGTTCTCATCATAAGGAAAAAAATTTTTTCTCTTCTTTTTTAATCTATATGAGGTGATGGATATTCACTAAACTTAATGTAATTATTTCATGATGTATATAAGTCAAATCATTATGTTGTACATCTTAAACTTATACAGTGCTATATATGTCAATTATATAAATAAAACTGGAAGAAAAAGTTAAGATTAAAAAATAAAACTTAATTTAAAAAGTAAAAACTTTATCCTACTGAATTACTTAGAAAATTGAAAATGAGATTTGCCTTATTTTTACAATCTTTGTTACCTATATATTACTTGACTAAAAGATAATCCAGGAGCGCTAGTACTCTCATTTTTCACTGGCCCTCAGCGTTGCTGACATGGTTATCCTACATGTTTAAAAACAGAGTAATGAAGAAAGAAATTTAGTAGAATATATTGAAAATGGAACTTGGAGCTAAATGGTTTGTATGATTTTAATATATTTATAGAGTGACTTAAGCACCATCTTAGTTGGATGATTTTACATTTGAGATAATTTTTTTATGATGCCAATTTGGTTATAATTCAAAGACCTTAATTTTTTCATTGTGATTAACTTTTTTTAAAGCTTTTAATATTTATAAAGTAACTGAATGAACTTCTGGTACTACCTGCACTTAATATATGTAACTTAGGTATTTTGTGTAAGTCATTTTTGAAAAGTCCATTTTGGGAATTTGGTGCCCTAATAATGACGAGTTGTTTTAGTGGCTCAGAGTGGGGAGGGGTTGAGAAGGTAGAGGGAGCAGTGTGTCTCAAGAGCAGTCAATAAGGGGATATATTATATGTAGAGATTTTAAAAACAATAAGAAAACCAACTACACCTCGATCTTCTTTTTATCACCGTGCACCAGCAATTCTAAATAATTTCAGGGTTGAAAATACTCATCCCCATCAGGACTTAACCGGACTTGCCTCTCTGCTTTTGGTACACACCTGAGCTATTTGAACATAATCTTATAGATGGAAAAACAGTCTGAAATATATCTGTTAGTAAAATAGTCAAAGTGGATGAGAACTGTTATTTTGGTATGTTATTACCTTCCCTCAAGGGAAAAAAAAATTCTCTTAATATGTAAGGCCCCAGTGATTTATAGTTAATAGTCCATATAGCAATTCAGTTATTGATATTTATATTTTACATCTTACAGCCTGTATTTACTGTCTATCAGTAATTGCCACAGTAAAGCTTCATAAGAAATCATCCCCAAACTCATGTAAACCTGAACCTTTATTTCTCACTTACATACAGGGTTGGGGTTCAGTTGATCAAGGCTGAGCTTGGGCTTGGTTCCAGACTGTTTTTTGGGTCCAGATCTCCATTTGTTTCTACTTTTTCTTGAGCCAGTAGCTGACTGAGGTATATTCTTTCGGCAAAAGGCAGGAGCACAGGAGAGTAAGCCCAGTTACACACATTTAAAGCCTTTGCTCATGTTGTATCTGCTTACCTACTGTCATTAAAGCAAGTCACGTAACTAAGCTCAAAGTTATGGGGCAGGGATATGCACTTTGCCTACAGTGAGGCAATGACAAGGGTGTGGTTGTATTATTACCACAGAGGAATAAAGACTTGAGACCAGTAATTCAGTCTGTTACATATTTCAGAATATACATTGCTTAAAAACAGGGTGTACTTTACTGGATGCTTTACTAAGTTGGATTTATTTAATAACGTACTTACATATTTTTATAGGCTAAAAATTTTTCAGTCATACTTTATGGCATGGAATTTCTGGTTGTTTATCTCATATTGAGAGTGTACCCAAATTGCTTTCCAAGAAAAATATTGGCTCTGTTGACAAGTACTCCCTCAGCTTCCAACTGGAGTGATGTGCTGAGGCTTGTGTCTTTATTAAGCTCAGCTTTTAGAAAAGGAAGTGAATCCTACCTTAGCTCAATAGATCATTAAAAGCATATGGTTCCACATTTAACTTACAGTTTAAATTAGCTTCACTCCAGGTACTTGGCAAGAGGAGTAATCTTGAATGCACTTAAATAAGCTCAACACCTTTCAAAATGCTAAGAGAAAATGGTTTTCAAGTACTGTATGAAGGACCTATAATCACAATGACTACAAGAGTTTTTAACCTTGAGTTATATACTCAAGGCATTCATGGTTAGATTTTGTGAAGTACTTAAATTTCCCAGAAATTCTATTTAAGGTTTGGGGGAGTTGGTCAGATTCTCATCAGTTTCGAAGTGGTGTGTTACCCCAAAACATTTTAAGAGCCACTGCTTTAAATCACTCTGAAGTCTAATCCTGGATTAATGCATTATTGTCAGAGTATGGGGAAATTGGATCATAGAATAATTGCTCTCCTTACAATTGTTTTTACTTAACTGTATTTTGACATCATGTCATTCATTTAAAAATATATTAACACATCAACATATCTTACATTCATTTATATATGTATATGTTTCATGTTATATATTTCATCAAAACACAGTCCTGTGGGACTTCTGAACTGTTTTTACTATAAGGGTTTGCTGCTAATTTCAGTTATTATGTTATAAATAACCTGTCTGATTATCTACTAGAGAATTTTTCTGTGTTATAGATAATTATGTTTTTTTCTAAGTATCAAGTTTGTTTTTAAGCTCCTGGATAATTTGAATATCATAACTGATTGTGTTTGCTTTGTTATATTGATTCCTAGGAAACTTAGAGACAGGTTTGTCTCTAGCAAAGTGTAACGGAAACATGACATTCATTTTTTTTTTTAACACCTTTATTGGGGTATAATTGCTTTACAATGTTGTGTTAGTTTCTGCTTTATAACAAAGTGAATCAGTTATACATATACATATGTTCCCATATCTCTTCCCTCTTGCGTCTCCCTCCCTCCCACCCTCCCTATCCCACCCCTCCAGGCGGTCACAAAGCACCGAGCTGATATCCCTGTGCTATGCGGCTGCTTCCCACTAGCTATCTACCTTGTTTGGTAGTGTATATATGTCCATGCCTCTCCCTCGCTTTGTCACAGCTCACCCTTCCCCCTCCCCATATCCTCAAGTCTGTTCTCCAGTAGGTCTGTGTCTTTATTCCTGTCTTAACCCTAGGTTCTTCATGACTTTTTTTTTCTTAGATTCCATACATATGTGTTAGCATACGGTATTTGTCTTTCTCTGACTTATTTCACTCTGTATGACAGACTCTAGGTCTATCCACCTCATTACAAATAGCTCAATTTCGTTTCTTTTTATGGCTGAGTAATATTCCATTGTATATATGTGCCACATCTTCTTTATCCATTCATCCGATGATGGGCACTTAGGTTGTTTCCATCTCTGGGCTGACATTCATATTTTAATATTACTTGGCTGCATCTTTCTTTTCTACTCTATTTACCTATTGCTTCAATTTTCTTATTTTAAATTTATTTATCTTACTAGGGTTTATTTCCTTGTAAACTACCTGAATACTTTGTGAAATAAAAGTAGAAGTAAATAATCCAGTAGAATAATTTATTTTTATTTATTTATTTTTTGCTGTACTCAGGCCTCTCACTGCTGTGGCCTCTCCCGCTATGGAGCACAGACTCCAGACGCGCAGGCTCAGCGGCTATGGCTCACGGGCCCAGCCGCTCCGTGGCATGTGGGATCTTCCCGGACCGGGGCACGAACCCGTGTCCCCTGCATTGGCAGGCGGACTGTCAACCACTGTGCCATCAGGGAAGCCCCAGTAGAATAATTTACTGAACTGATTGGGTATGATAATTGATCCATATGGAAGAAAAAAAATCTGTTAATCATAAAACTAAAAATGCTTTAAGGACTATAAGTGTACATTTATAGAATGTACTTTTTTTTTTTTTTTTTTTTTTTTTTTTTTTT